AGCCAACATATCGAGGCGCACATCTATATCAGCAGGACTTAGATTGTCGATTTTATTCCCCGAGAATGACTGGCCAAGACGCTGCAGCCGATCATGCAGAGACTGAACTTTACGCTTGTAAAGCCTCAGCCTTTTTTCCTCCATCGCAATATTTCCGCCCGCACCTGTATTCGGCTCTTTGTCCATGCCAACCGGTGTAATACAACGAAACAACGGAAAATGTCAGACCGCTTAAGCGACGGTGAAAGAACGGGAGCGAGAATAGAAGACACGGAAAGTCAAGGGCCGCGGCTGCAGCGGAGCAGAGCAAGAGAGAATCGGCGATTAAGCAACGGAATATTAGACGGCTGCAGTCGCACTGAACTTGCACTTTAACTGTTCTTATTTGCACAAAATGTATTTGTTGGTCGTTAAACGGCACAGCAACGAATATCTTATTCGATTTGTATAGGTTTTAAACGAAACGCGATTAAAAATTGTAGTTAAATCACGTCGGGGTCACCAATGTTTGAGATGCCAAGCTTTTTTGGCACCTATATTTATCCAAATCAGTTAAAGACTTTGATTTAAACGTTATAATGTTTATTTATACCGGCGGCTAGCTGAAGCCAATTGCTCGCTCTTTTGCCCAGCAAGATAAATGTTCACAAGCGGGGGTTCAGTATGCAACCTATGCGGCGAGAGATTAGCATAGAACTACTTGGGCCACGACGGCCGATCAATGCAAGAGCCGACGCAGCAGGTGCAGAGCGCTCTTTAACAGGGAGAGCGCAGCAGCACTGCCGAACGCTGGGGACATACATAAGCTTAGGTTTCGATACTCTTATACAACTAGTTACAGCTACATTTAATATTATGATAGACGCTTAAGTAGCCGTTGTCCCGAACAGCTGCCATACAAGCATATACACCGGCCGCCTGTGTATACACAAATTGCGCTTGAAGTTCCCTTTTGTTACGCGCCTTGCGCGTTCCTCTTCCCGCTACGAACAGCAGAAAGGCCACGATCACAGCAGCAGTAGAAAATATAACGTTACCGACGCCACGCTAAAGTGACGAGATTAACAGCGACGAATCCGGAGACTCGGCACCAGCCAAAGGACAGGAAAAAGGCGAACCTCAGCACCCGCCAAGCGACGCCACTAATCTCTCCATCACTCACCCCGTAGAAAGGGGTGGGGGGGGGTGTAACGAACCATGGTTCTAGCCATGGCTCGTCACAAACGGCGGAGGGTCAGCGCATCCACGCTGGCGGGAGACAATAACCAAACTGATATACACCGAGCTAACGAACCATGGCTCTAGCCACGGTTCTCATCAAATAGCGGTGTGTCAGCACTCCGGAAAATAAAATAGTTTTAAGCAACGCACGCAATTACTAAAATTAAAAACTCTCGATCAGCGAAAAAAATACAGCACGAAATTCTCAGTCACCCACTTCTTGGCGATATTTCGCCAACAACTCGGCCTCGAATCACAGATATCACCTTCGCGATGCGGATGTAGCAAAAGCCCAATTCCCAACTGCACCTTCCGGGATGCAGCCTCAGCACAACCACCCTGACCCACTAACAATCGTCAACGAAGCACCAAGCTTCGACCCACTTACCACGCCCCACAATTATTGTCACCAATAATCATAAGTTAGCAATAAGCAATTATTTCCGGGTCTCAGGTGCGATCGCCAGCTGCATAAAAGGGCCAAGATCGGCCGAAAGAGCAGGCAGTCCATCAGCTTAAACACAAGACACAGGCAGTCCATCAGCCCGAACAATAGACACTGCACTAGGCAGCCCTTAGTCACACACCCAAGACACTGCACTACGCAGTCCACCAGCGCACCATTCAACTACGAGTCAAAGTAGCAGAATTTAAGTGAATGAAGAAAACCGAATACTAAATAAATTCCAAGAAAAATCCAACAAACAAAAACCGTCGCATCATCATTTCTCGCTGCCTACTACATTCTTTTGCAAGCCAGCCCGACACCTGAAGTCACCTACAATCTACAAATTTTCTTGTAGCGGACCCTGGACAGACTGATGCATACCTCAGCCTGAAATAGGACCTCACAAGGGATTATTGACAAAGAATCCAAATATGTCACCAAATCAATTAATACAGATGATGAGTGGGAAATAGTAATGGACATTAACTTAGTTAAATTAATGCTTTCAGAATTAGTCCCAACGCGTACAAAACGAGGAGTAAATGAACTAGGAACTATCTGGAAATGGATAGCAGGGACCCCAGATCATGACGACTTTATTAAAATTCAGGAAAAAGTTAATGATTTAATCACAAATAATAACAAGCAGTTTATAATTAATTCAAAATTTTTCCGGGAGATTGAATTGCTATCAAATAACTTGCAGAACCTCATTTTTAATGAAGAAACAATATTAAGAAAGCATCGTTTAAAATTAATTACCTTCGATATTCTGAATTTAATTGATACCATAACCTTATCAAAAATAAACATATTTAACACAAAAATATTAAATAAGAATGATATAAATGACATTTATGAACATGAAAGTGAGCCTGTTGAAATAACAGATGTACTTGACATCGCAACGGTTAAAATAATACGAAACTCTGATTTGATAATAATTTATATAAAATACCCAGTAATTATTGACGTTTGTAATCTTTATCACGCAAAAGCTCTTTCACAGCAAGATGGGAAATTAGTTATAAGTGACAAGATTTGTAATTGTAAGGGGAAATATTACTTAATGAATAACTTGAGAAAAAAACATTTAATAATTACGCAAAACTAAGTTCAGACAGTTATTGTTTTACTAATTTACTAAATGGATTTAAAGCCAATTGCACCAAAATAAGGGAAAAAATAGGGATTTAGATTTTCTTCAAAATGTTGCCATTTTAGTATCAGGAGCAAACGTTGTAGACAACAACATTTTAAAAGCAACGTACCTCCTTATATTCAACGACTCAATTACTATTAATAACAAAACATTTATTAATGAGGAAATCAAAAATTGGGAATATGTATCGCATCTTAAATATAGTAATTATCATTTAATTAGTTATGAACAATCAAATGATTCAATACTTACATTTGACAACATTAACATTGTAAATCCAATCATAAGAATTGGAAAAACTAGGTTACCATTTTCGACTTTAATACTGATCTTTTTGGTAATATTACTCATATTTTATTTCATTTATAAAATAATAATTATCATACTATCCAAATGGCTCATGAAACCTAAGGAGGAATCCATAGAAAACAATATTTCCCAATTATCAGAAGAAATAAGAATGCTTTCAGAAACCCAAAATGTATCGGGACGACACATTTAAGGAAGGGGGGAGTTAACGTACCCGTTGTCATAAGAATATAATTCAATTTATAAACAATCTTTGGCTTCCCATAGTTTGAGATAAACAATCTTTGCCTCCCATAGTTTGAGATAAACATCTTCGGTTTCCCTAATTGGAAGTCAAGCCACCCCAGCCTTATTATAAACAATCTTCGATTTCAATTAGAAATCCATTTGCATTGCAGCTGTGGCTGATTTCTGCAAACGCTGCTATTTGGAATTTCACAATTCCTCAACTGGATAAACTAATCCAAACCGATCGAAACCGATCGGACCCAAAATGTTTATGGAAGCTTCCCGAAGAGGACCCAAAGAGGTTTCATGATGAGAAAAGCATTAGACGTAGATCAGTTGGTTTCGAGCATCAGAACTGGACAGTTCTAGTACAAAATAAGTCGCGTTTAAGCCTGTCAAATGTAAAAGCCTTTACACTTCATCCCTTTGTTAAATAAAGTTTTTTTTAAAAAACTCAACTTTTTCCCGCAATAATTTAATTTACATGTTAATTTTGAGCTTGGGTTAATCATAGAAAATAAATAGGTAAGATGCCTATGGTCAGTTTTGACAGTTTGCCATAAATGTATGGTCGAAAATGATTTATTGCCCAATGTATTGTCGCTAATTCTTGTTCTGTTGTGTTTTTATTACTTTCTCCCTTTGTGAATGATCTTGATGCATACGCTACTGGTAGCTAAGTTCCATTATAATTTTGTGTCAGAACAGCACCACATGCTTGTTTACTTGCATCCGTTGTTATACAAAATTCTTTGCTAAGATCTGGATATTGCAGTAAGGTTGGTTTCATCAATTGTACTTTTAAATATTCGAATGCTTTCTGACATTTATCTGTCCATTCGAAGTTAACATTCTCTTTATATAATCTTGTTATGTGACATGAATAATCGGAAAAATTTTTAATGAAACGTCTATAATAATTGCAAAATGCAACGAATCTTCTAGCGCTATCTGCGTCCTTTGGGACTGGGTATTTCTCTATAACGTCATATTTTTTGTCGTCAGGTAAAATACCTTTATCATTATACTTATGACCTAGAAAGGTAACTTCGTATCTGTCGGGTCAAGCAGCATAACGCATATGCCTACGCCTGGCAGCGGCTGTTCTGGCGGCTGTCTCCCGCTGCCTTCGTGTTGCTGCTGCACCTGCTGCGTTTAAGCAGCTCTCATGCTCTACTCGGCTCAGAAGCCGAGCCTAACTATGCCATAATGCTCTCACGCTCTCGTTATGCATAGGGCACGTGCAGTCGGCCCATTTTGCCCTGCGATCAGTCAATTACTGATATTCAGAACGTTCGGTCTATATACCTTAAGCAAACCTATTAAATACGCGTACTGCCGCTACTAAATACTAATAAAATAATATTGTAATACATTTATCGGCTCTGTTCTTAAATTTAATTAAAATAGCTATTAAAAATGCTTAATAGCTCAAGCATTGGTGACCCCGACGTGATCTGTGCAATTTGGTACATATCACAAACTACATTTCAACATAATAATTAACACTTAATTGCCGTTCGTTCGTCTGCTTTGCTCGCCGCTCTGATCCAGTGCCATCGACCACATAGCTGCCATACAAGCATATACACCGGCTGCCTGTGTACGAACGTTTTTAGAACCGCTGCTGCTATGGATGCTGCCAACGACGCTCCAGTGCCCATTGAGCAAAACAGGGTGTCTTTTCTGAGGATTAAGTCAACGGAACTATGTGAGAAAGTGAAAAGATTGGCTGCCGATTGGGAAGATGAGGCTGCTGTCTGTGACTCTTACATGCTACTGGTAAAGCTGGAGCAGATCGAGAAGCTGAATGGGCAATTTGAAACATTGCACAACGAGCTTGAAGAATTGGACTGCAACGAAATTCATAGTGGACTGTGCGACAGCTTTGCTCTCAAGGCTTCGATCATGCGTGAAACTGCTAGGATTAGCGGATACATGCCGCTGCATTCTACGTTTGCTGGAGCAAATGCAACTGCAGGTTTTGCCGGTTCTCAGCCGCCACCTCGTCGTAGGCCAGGATCATCCCTTCCTCCCATACAATTGCCAAGGTTTAGCGGAGGATATGCGGATTGGACGGACTTTTACTCGATGTTCACGACCATCATCGACAATCATCCAGACCTATCCAACATTGAGAAGTTTCAGCATCTACGATCTTGCCTGCGTGACTCGGCGTTGGAGACAGTTCGTTCGCTGGAAATCTCGGACAGCAACTATAATATAGCATTGGATTTATTGGAAAGGCGTTTTAATAATCGTCGTTTTGTTTTTCAGGCGCACATTACTGAGATTCTGGGGCTGCAGGCAGTTGAGAATGGGTCAGTGTCAATGCTGCGGGAGATTTCTGACAAGTTCAACGCTCATATTCGGGCGCTGTAGGCTTTGGGCACGCCTGAGCAGATCGCAGGATGCATCATAGTGCAGGTGCTTCTTCGTAAACTGGACCCGGCGACTCAAGCCAAGTGGGAGGAACGTTTAGAGGACTCAGCCTTCGTCAACTTGATTCCATCATGGGAGTCCATGGCCTCGTTTTTGGAGCAGCGATGCAGGACGTTGGAAGCATTGGATTTCGCTATGGCAAAATATGCGCCAAGCAGTCAGGTGGGCAGGAGTAGAAAACCTAACCATTCTAAATCCACACTTGTTGCCATTAACCAAAACACATCAAGCTGCGTGCTGTGCAATGACAGCGCTCACGAAATCAATCATTGTCCCAATTTTATAGCACTGTCTCCCGCAAATCGCCATAAGGAAGCCAAAAGGCTTTCCCTGTGTGTAAATTGCCTCAAAAGAGGGCATCGATTGAGTCAATGTAGCTCCAGCAAATGCCGTACCTGTGGACGTAGGCACCACACTCTCTTGCATTTCGGTGGCCCTGATGCTACTGCAGCCCAAGGTGGATATGTTCCACTTGGCACTTCGTCTCCGTCTGCGTCATCTCTTCAGCGTCCACGGAGGCTACTCATACCACTGAACCATCTATCCCAGCATCTACCTCTTCTGCTCTTATTGCCCAGGGTCTCAGTGATGATGTCGTTCTGCTAGCCACGGTAACAGTCTTGGTAAAAAATCGTTCCGGAGTTTTTGTTCCCTGTCGAGCGTTGCTTGATTCTGGCTCTCAACTACACTTAATTACTTCTCGCTTCGCAAATCAGCTTCAGCTTCGAAAAATGAAATCATCAACGTCAGTATCAGGAATAGGCGATTCTACTTTTGTCACGGATGGAGTTTCGGTCAACGTCAGTCTGCACTCTCGCTCATCGGAATACTCAACTCTCATCACCGCTGTCGTAGCCTCTAGCATAACCGACCGGCAGCCGAGCTTCGGAATAGACACTTGCAACTGGAATATTCCAGAAAATCTGCCACTAGCTGATCCAGAGTTCTATAGACCGCAGCGTGTTGATCTTCTAATTGGCGCCAGCTTGTTTTACGAACTCCTCTGTGTTGGCCAGGTCAAGCTATTGCCAGGATTGCCCTCAATTCAGAAGACTCGCTTGGGATGGGTCATATCTGGAGGTTATTCCCGGGTAAAGAAGGGGTCCTCTTTAATGGTTTCGTGCGCCCCGGCCGTAGCTGCGGAGGATAACATTGACGAGAGACTTGAGGTCCTGCTGCGATGGTTTTGGGAGGTGGAGAATTGCATCGAACCCATAGTAAATTCTACCAAAGAAGAGCTAGATTGTGAAGATCACTTTGTGCAGCATTTCCGCCGATTGCAAACCGGCGATTATTGTGTTAGGTTGCCCGCAAAATACAATCTGGATCTTTTGGGAGAATCGTACCATCAAGCTCTTCGAAGGTTCTTATCCCTTGAACGGAAGTTATATCGCCGTCCTGATGTAAAATCTCTGCATGCTGCTTTCATAAAAGAGTACCTTGATCTAGGTCATATGTCCTTGGTTCCTGCCGAGTCAATCAGCTCCTGCCGATATTTTTTGCCTCACCATTGCGTGACAAAGCAAGATAGTTCTACAACCAAGCTTCGGGTCGTTTTCGATGGATCTGCATCAACATCATCTGGTTATTCCCTGAACGACGTTTTAATGGCTGGTCCTGTAATCCAACCGAAGCTTTTCCATATTCTTACTCGATTTCGGTCACATGCAGTTGCAATTACGGGAGATATTTGCAAGATGTACCGATGTGTCAGGGTCTCATCTGAGGACAGTAACTTGCAGTGTATTCTATGGAGGAATTCCATGCAAGAGGAGTTGCGTGTGTTCAAGCTGGACACCGTTACTTATGGGACGAAGCCTGCCTCTTATTTATCTGTGCGGGCGATGCATCAGCTGGCAATGGATGAACAGACAGCGTTTCCTATTGGGACTGAGATTCTTCGCCGTGACTTCTACGTTGATGACCTAATATCTGGAGCCAGCTCTCCGGAGGAGGCTATCCGCATTCGTGAGCAAACTGCAGGAATTTTCAGTAGAGGCCAGTTCCGACTGAGGAAATGGTGTTCGAACGTCCCTGCTGTCCTCGATGGGGTTCCTGAGGAGGACAAGGAAACTTATTTGAAGTTCGACGATGGCAGTGATTTTACCAAAACACTGGGACTTGCCTGGGATCCTGTGTCTGATCAACTTTTATTCTCGTTTTCTGCCCTACGTTCGTCTTCGCATCCCTGCAGGCGTTCCGTCTCGTCTACAATAGCCCGGTTCTACGACCCCCTTGGACTAGCTGGACCTGTCATTACAAAGGCAAAAATCTTTCTCCAGCAGTTGTGCAAGGAGAAGTTGTCCTGGGATGAAAGCTTGCCATCAGGACTGAACTCCTCCTGGCAGGAATTATGTAACAGTTTTGGCCACATTCGACGCTATGAATTTCCTCGGTTCGTGCTTATTTCGAATTTTGAGCTAGAAATTCACGGATTTTGCGACGCCAGCATTGAGGCTTTCATCTCTCCTAAAATGAACATAGAATTGCCGAGCTGTGCAGTGTATTTCCTTACTGTGATATTCAACAGCATGATGAAATGGGGCTATTATCCTCAAGAATGGAGGAAATCAGTCATCACAATGATCCATAGAGCCGGAAAAGACAAGTCCAAGCCATCATCATATAGACCTATTAGCCTACTGCCTTGCCTATCAAAGGATATTTGAAAAGCTGCTCCTGAATCGTATCAAACAACACCTACACATCAAGTGTGCCATGTAAATGTACATGTACATGTAAATGAGCAAAAACGCAAGCATGTCACCTTCACGTTAAACAGACAAACTTGCTCTCCATTATGTCTGAACAATATCAACATTCCTCAAACCACCGAAGTAACATACGTTGGTGTTCATCTGGATAGAAGGCTTACTTGGCGTAAACACATCGAAGCGAAGAGAAATCTACTTGAATTTAAAACTAGTAATATACATTGGCTAATAAATACCCGTTCACCACTAAAACTGGAGTACAAAGTACTTTTGTACTATGCAGTTCTCAAACCCATCTGGACATACGGCTCCGAGCTATGGGGAAATGCTTGCGTTAGTAATTTAGAAATAATCCAGAGAGCTCAACCGAAGATACTAAGAACTATCACTGTGGCACCATGGTATATACGGAATAAAAATATCCATAAAGACTTAAATGTAGGATCAGTTAAAGATAAAATTGCCAAAGTGAAAGCAAAGTACCAGGCCAAGCTTCAAGCCCATCCTAATAGACTTGCGCAGTCTTTAATTTGGCACACTAGCCATACACGACACCGGCGAAGAGACCTTCCCACCCAGCAATAATACTTAGCTAGGGACGTACTCTAAGTAATTAAGTGTAATTAATTAAATAAATATATTAGGCTAAGATTTGTATACTTGTCGTAAGTCTCTAATAGGGAAGATTCGATAAATAAAAACCCGTAAAAATAAAAAAAAATAAAAAGGCTTGAGGCTTATGGTGCCTGCATTTATGTTGTGTCTAAGGGTCAGCGGTTCAGCAGCCACTTACTCTGTGCAAAATCTCGTGTTGCTCCATTGAAAACACTGACTGTACCAAAGCTGGAGCTTTGTGGAGCGGAGTTGCTAGCTAGACTCATATCTGAGATAGCCGGAATGAAGGTATTCAAAGGGAAGTTTTACTGTTGGTGTGATTCATCTGTTGCGCTCTCTTGGATTCGGGACGAACCGTCCAGATTCAACGTATTTATCGTAAATAGAATGGCAATGATACAGGAACTTACTGCTCAAATGGAATGGCACTATATTCCCACAGCATTGAACCCGGCTGACATTCTCTCGCGAGGGGCTCTTCCAGTAGAGTTGAGCGAGTCACCTCTTTGCGCTCAAGGACCTCCCTTTCTTTGCGGATCCTCTGTTTACTGGCCACCCACTGTACTACCTGTTAAGCCAACCCTGAAGCTTCGTCGGAAGGTTCTCCTGGTAAAATCGCCCTACGTAGACATCGTATCTGAGTCCAAGTATGCGAACTCTTTTGCGTCCATGCAACGCGTTTTTGGATATATTCACAAGTTTGTCAACCGGATTCGGCATCCCGGACTCACTGATTCTCACATTGAACATGGAACTCAGTTATTGGTGCGGCTAGTCCAGCGTACTGAACTATGGGAAGACATGAAGACACTGCGTGCTAAGGGGGTGGTCTCCTCATCTAGCTCCCTCGTATCGTTGAATCCTTTCATGGATCCTTTCGAACTTCTCAGAGTTGATGGCTGGCTGATGAACTCGTCGTTGGATTTTGATGGCCGTCATCCCATCATCCTGCCCAGCAGTCATCCGCTTACGTTTGCAATCATTTCTCACTTTCACGAACCCTGCTTGGATTAATCCGATCCCAATATTGGCCTATTGGGGGGAGGAAAACGGTAACCAAGGCCGTAAACAAGTGCGTAAGATGCTTTCGAACGAAGCCTAGAGTATTGGAGCACATCATGGCGGATCTTCCGAAGGAGCGGCTAGACGGTTCTCATGCCTTTGAGATCACAGGCGTCGACTTTTGTGGCCCTTTTTTCTACAAGCCAGAGGCACGCAACAAGGCTCCAATCAAATGCTACGTCTGCGTCTTCATTTGCTTTGCGACTAAGGCTGTTAATTTGGAGCTGATCAAGGATTTGTCTACAGTCTCCTTTCTGCACGGCCTAAAGCGGTACTAGACGAAAGGCGCGACTAATTTGGTCAGATAACGGAACCAATTTTGTCGGCGCCAGGAATGAGCTTTTGGATCTAAAGCGCCTATTTCTCAGCGACGACCATCAGAAGGCGGTCCTGGAATATTGTTTGTTTGAGGCTATTGACTGGCACTTCATACCGCCACGCTCCCCGCACTTTGGAGGCCTGTGGGAAGCTGCAGTGAAGACGGCCAAGTATCACTTCTATCGTGCTATAGGCACCTCGGTGCTTGAATTTGAAGAGCTGCGTACGCTGTTATGCCACATCACGGCAGTTATTAATTCAAGACCCTTATTATGTGTTTCAGAGAATCCTGCCGATCTGGACGTTTTAACTCCAGCCCATTTCTTGAATGGCGGACCTCCTGCTTCGTTCGCTGAGCCTGACGTAACTCAGCTAAAATTCGATCGCCTCAACGGATGGCAGCGCGTTTCATATTTGCAGCAGATCTTCTGGTCCCGATGGAAGGAAGAATACATCACTTCACTGCAACAGCGCTCAAAGTGGCGCACGCCGAAGCCTAGTTAAGCCTTGTTAAGGATGAGAATCTCCCTCCCATGAAGTGGCCACTAGCTAGGGTGGTCGAACTATTACCCGGAAGAGATGGCGTCGCCCGAGTCGCTGTTCTGAAGACTGCATCTGGAATGACCAAGCGAGCCGTTAACAAGCTGTGTCTGCTTCCCCTTAAAGATGCTGTTGAAAGTCAGGCTTCCAACGGGCGGAGTATGTCGGGTCAAGCAGCATAACGCATATGCCTACGCCCGGCAGCGGCTGTTCTGGCGGCTGTCTCCCGCTGCCTTCGTGTTGCTGCTGCACCTGCTGCGTTTAAGCAGCTCTCTTGCTCTACTCGGCTCAGAAGCCAAGCCTAACTATGCCATAATGCTCTCACGCTCTCGTTATGCATAGGGCACGGGCAGTCGGCCCATTTTGCCCTGCGATCAGTCAATTATTGATATTCAGAACGTTCGGTCTATATGCCTTAAGCAAACCTATTAAATACGCGTACTGCCGCTACTAAATACTAATAAAATAATATTGTAATAAATTTATCGGCTCTGTTCTTAAATTTAATTAAAATAGCTATTAAAAACGCTTAATAGCTCAAATACTGGAATCTAATTTGTTAAGCCACAGATCCTGCAGTAGGATCGTTCCCTTGATTACCAAGGGGCTTAACAAACCAAGGGGGTCAAACAGCTCTGATGTCCCCGATAATATGTTCCGTTTTGTCGCTCGGAGACCCATGACTGAACTGTCAATTTTAAACTTAAAGACGTCTTCGAGAGGTATCGTGAAACACGATAAGCAGCTCTCTTGCTCTACTCGGCTCAGAAGCCAAGCCTAACTATGCCATAATGCTCTCACGCTCTCGTTATGCATAGGGCACGGGCAGTCGGCCCATTTTGCCCTGCGATCAGTCAATTATTGATATTCAGAACGTTCGGTCTATATGCCTTAAGCAAACCTATTAAATACGCGTACTGCCGCTACTAAATACTAATAAAATAATATTGTAATAAATTTATCGGCTCTGTTCTTAAATTTAATTAAAATAGCTATTAAAAACGCTTAATAGCTCAAATACTGGAATCTAATTTGTTAAGCCACAGATCCTGCAGTAGGATCGTTCCCTTGATTACCAAGGGGCTTAACAAACCATACTGTTGAATCTGAATCATATCGGATCATAATTATAGCCAGAATGAAGAAATTAATTTTCTGTTGCTTCCTCTGCCTCCCCCTGCCGGCGACATAGCAACTCATTTTCCTTCTCGCTCGCACACTCTGCCGCGTTCAGTGCGCGAGCAACCCCTAGCGGAGGAGATGTAGAATCTAAATGGAACATGTACATTGTACAATCTACATGTTAGATGTAGAATATACATTATAGATGTAGATGTAGATAGCAGATGTAGCAAACAAATGTAAAATGTAAAATTTTTAATTCTGAAATTCTAAAAAATCATATGCTCAAAAATTATATACATATATGACTGAGTACGGGTATAAGTTGAGTCGCGTCCCCAGAAGCGACTCGCACGTTCCTTCTCGTTTTTTAAGAATTTGTTAAAATCTGGTATTTTTTTAATGTTTTTTTTCAGAGGTAGTGCTTCTATTTTTCACATAACTTAAGTGTCTTATATCTGGTTGTTAGTTCTTTTCAGTTCTGAAAAGCTGACAAATACAGCTATAAATCCGACCCAGACTCTGGGACCATGGTTCCCCATGGTTCGTCACAACACAGGAACACCTGTCTTTAAATATCTCTACATGTATAACCGCATAAATGAACACTAAGTAAAACCTCTTTAAATATCTCTACATGTATAACCGTATAAATAAACGCTAAGTAAAAACCTCAAATTTCCCTAAAGTTACATTCCTTTCCCACGGTACCGGTGCATATCGATCACCCTACCGGGGACATTGGACACCTATTGGGAGGCGATTGCTTAGGTAACTCTCGATTACCGAGCAAAACCCCACATGCGCAAGCCAGTCAGCAGTCTCCGACTTTCCTTACCGGGAATATTGGACACTGACTGCAGGGCAAATGATTAGGTAACCTTCTGTTACCGATCAGCCCGCCTGCGCAGCGCGTCCATAGATATTTATGTAAGAACCCTTCCCACGGTCTGGAGTAGAAATAAGATATCAAAGATTCATGGAAGGCCGGCCGATCTAAAAAAGGCATTCCACCAACCATCGGGGGCGGCAGTCGAATCAAACTACCATACGCGTCGTAGCACAATTAAAACATAACAGAAGCCGGGTAGGAATCATACGGAAGAAGACGGAAGAATAAAGAAAACCATTAAAAATTAAAAGAACCAAAAAGTGTTGTGATTTCTATTTCTAGTTTTTAGCAAAGTTCCTGGTTTTCCCGATAAAGTCCTCGTGAATTAGAAATATCTTGTAATTAGGGACCCTGGACAGGCTGATGCATACCTCAGCCTGAAATAGGACATTAAAATCTCTAAGCTTTCAAATTAAATTTCATCATTTTTTCATCGTTCTTGATCAGCATCCTGCCACCCTCTGCCGCGTTCAGTGCGCGAGCAACCCTACAGCAGAGGAGTGTAAATGTAAATGGTACATGTAGAATATACCATGTTAGATGTAGAATATACATAATATATGTATATGTGGATAACAATATGGCAAAAAATAGGGAATATAAAATTTTTTTTTATACCCGTACTCAAAAAAGAGTAAGGGTATATTAGATTATAGTAAAAGTGGATGTGTGTAACGCAGAGAGGAAACGTTTAGCCCAGTAAAGTGTATATATTCTTGATCAGCATCGATAGCGAGTAATTAGGGCCTTCTCTGTCCTGTCTGTCTGTCTGTCTGTCCATCTTGTTGAGCACCTGGTGTGGGAGCTGTGGGGTAGGGCAACCAAATTTGGTTTCCAACTCATCTGATGTCCCACTGCTATACGGCTATTTCAAAATTTCGCCCCGCCCCCTTCCGTCCACACAAAGGACAAAAGTCTGTGGCA